AAGTCTCAGATGAGAGTCTGGAGGTTGCGCTAGGTGTACACTAGTCCTTCAGAGGACCCCTCCCCCCCATCTACTCTAGAGGAGACTCAGATGAGGGTCTGGAGGTGGTGCTAGGAGGTGTACACTAGTCCTTCAGAGGATATACTATACATGGCTATATGTGCCCCGGGTACACTATACATGGCTATGTGTGGATGAGTGGAGGGGCCATCAATGGATGAGTGGATGGGTCATCAATGGATGGATGGATGAGTGGATGGGCCATCAATGGATGGGTGGATGGGCCATCAATGGATGGATGGATGAGTGGATGGGTCATCAATGGATGAGTGGATGGGCCATCAATGGATGAGTGGATGGGCCATCAATGGATGGGTGGATGGGTTATCAATGGATGAGTGGATTGGGCCATCAATGGATGAGTGGATGGGCCATCAATGGATGAGTGGATGGGCCATCAATGGATGGATGGATGAGTGGATGGTGGATGGATCATCGGTGGATGGGTGAATGAGTGGAGGGGCCATCAATGGCTATAAGCTGCCTGATCTTCACCTACCCTGTCTAAAATTGTGTATACAATCCTTGCCCTGGGGAGTGTCCTCTGGGGGTTCCTTAGTAACGAGACTGTCATGGCAACAGTAGATTATTCCAACTTCCACCAATAAAACAATTATTGAATATAAAAAGACAAAGCGACGAGTCACACCGGAGAGAACACATTGGAGAGACGGGAAGAGATGGGACAACAGGAGACACTAGTGGGCCTACAGAACCAACAAAGAGACAACCAGGAGAAGAAGAGTACACCGCTCCTGCATATGGAGCAGCCATAGGAGGGACAGAAGGATATCCCCACCACACTGAGATGAATATAAACCCCAACAATCATCTTCTATTATTTGATCTCTTTTGGTTGGCTAAATATTCCATTGGAAGTGTTTTGTTCTGTTCAATAAAGACAACAACAAGAAATACTTGTGGATTTGGCTCCAATCCTGCCAGCTAATACCTTCCTGTGAACAAGGAGGGGGTCTGAAGATGAGGAGGGGTTATGGAGATGGGGAGGGGTTATGGAGATGAGGAGGGTGGAGATTAAGAGGAGTTATGAAGATGCTTTATAGGGATGGGGCAGGGTTAAGGCGTTGAGGAGGACTTATGGAGATGAGTAGGTGTTATGGACATAAGGAGTGGTTGTGGAGATGAGAAGCTGCTATGAAGTTGAGAAGGGGTTATAAAGATGCGCAGAAGGAGGAGATGAGGAGGGGTTATGGAGATGAGGGAGGAGATGATGAGGAGGGGTCAGTGAGGTAGGTAGGAGGTATGGAGATGAGGGGGAGGTGGGGTTAGTGAGGTAGGTAGGATGAGGGATTCCTTCTAGAACTATCCAAGCAATAACACTGGAGTGTCTGTACAATGAGGCCCAGAGACCACAGGAGGAACCCCCCACCACCTCCGTGGAATCACATGGGGTCCTCTGTGTGGTCTGTAGCAGTGGTAACACCACCACCCCCCTAACTTCGCCATCATCCCCATACAGAGCCCAACCGACCGATCATCGGAACCCGAAAACCACAGAAGAGCCGCGTCACCATCACTCCACCACCCCTGACCCCTATTGTCTGTCACTCATCACCTCACACAATGACGATGTCCGGGGTCACCATCACTCCCCCCCACCTGACCCCTATTGTCTGTCACTCATCACCTCACACAATGACGATGTCCGGGGTCACCATCACTCCCCCCCACCTGACCCCTATTGTCTGTCACTCATCACCTCACACAATGACGATGTCCGGGGTCACCATCACTCCCCCCCACCTGACCCCTATTGTCTGTCACTCATCACCTCACACAATGACGATGTCCGGGGTCACCATCACTCCACCCCACCTGACCCCTATTGTCTGTCACTCATCACCTCACACAATGACGATGTCCTCCATCATCCTCTCCATCATCCTCTCCATCATCCTCGTAGCTCTTACTTGTAGAAGTTTTGGTTGTACTTCTTCTCTGAGGGGAAGCCCAGCATTCCGCACACCACGTGGCTGTTGGTCTGAGTCCAGCCCACGTCACACACGTGTTCCCAGCTATTCTTGTATTTGATCTCCAGGATCCCCTCGTGGATTGGAAGTCGGTTTTTGGCACTTGAGATGACGGGTCTCAGATGGACCTCCTCCACCTGCCGCTGCTCTGTCTGCAATGACATCACCCAATCTGATTGTCACCCTTCAGTGGGAGGAGCACATGTCTCAGAGTCGCCCCCTATGTGTATCACCCTTCAGTGGGAGGAGCACACGTCATGTCTCAGAGTCGCCCCCCATGTGTGACACCCTTCAGTGGGAGGAGCACACGTCATGTCTCAGAGTCGCCCCCTATGGGTATCACCCTTCAGTGGGAGGAGCACACGTCATGTCTCAGAGTCGCCCCCAATGGGTATCACCCTTCAGTGGGAGGAGCACACGTCATGTCTCAGAGTCACCCTTCAGTGGGAGGAGCACACGTCATGTCTCAGAGTCACCCTTCAGTGGGAGGAGCACACGTCATGTCTCTTAGTCGCCCTCTATGTGTATCACCCTTCAGTGGGAGGAGCACACGTCATGTCTCAGAGTCACCCTTCAGTGGGAGGAGCACACGTCATGTCTCAGAGTCACCCTTCAGTGGGAGGAGCACACGTCATGTCTCAGAGTCACCCTTCAGTGGGAGGGGCACACGTCATGTGATGATGGACTTGGTCTCTCTTACCTCGATGGTGTTGGGCTCGACGTATCCCGGAATCCTCTCGTCCTTGCAGATGACCCCGGCATCTTCTTCATGCGTGCAGTCCGTGCTCCCCCACCCCCGGGAGATACAGTCTGTGATACTCTTCTCACTTCCAGAGCAGATGACGTTATCCAGCCAGATCCGCCCTTCCAGAAGACACATGTTATTACCAAACACGCTACAGACCCCCACCACGGAGGTCCACAACATACATTCCATGACACGGATACTACAGGATGACATGTCTGGGGACTGCCGGAGAGAATGTACAACATAGAGGACACCGTCATGTGTAGAAGAGGACACCGTCATGTGATATGAAGAAGAGGACACCGCCATGTGATATGTAGAAGAGAACACAGTCATGTGATATGTAGCAGAGAACACGGTCATGTGATATGTAGAAGAGAACACAGTCATGTGATATGTAGAAGAGAACACAGTCATGTGATATGTAGAAGAGAACACGTTCATGTGATATGTAGCAGAGAACACAGTCATGTGATATGTAGAAGAGAACACAGTCATGTGATATGTAGAAGAGAACACAGTCATGTGATATGTAGCAGAGAACACGGTCATGTGATATGTAGAAGAGAACACGGTCATGTGATATGTAGAAGAGAACACAGTCATGTGATATGTAGAAGAGAACACAGTCATGTGATATGTAGCAGAGAACACGGTCATGTGATATGTAGGAGAGAACACCGTCATGTGATATGTAGGAGAGAACACGTTCATGTGATATGTAGCAGAGAACACGGTCATGTGATATGTAGGAGAGAACACCGTCATGTGATATGTAGGAGAGAACACCGCCATGTGATATGTAGCAGAGAACACGGTCATGTGATATGTAGAAGAGAACACGGTCATGTGATATGTAGAAGAATGGCGTGTGTGTGTGTATAAGAGAGTGCTGTCCCTTGTCATGTAATGTTACATACAGCGGGGGTTATGTGTAGGAGGGATGTTATCCTGGTGATCAGGGACACGCGTGTGTTGGCGTGGTGAAGGGATCTCACCTATTCCTTTCCCATACTTGGCGCTGTGCGTCCATCCCGTGGCTTCTGTAAATCCAAGATGGCGGCAGAGGATGTGCGCATTCTCCATGGTGAAGTCGTCGTCGCAGATCGTACCCCATTCCTGGCTGTAGAAGACCTCGATCCGCCCTTCATTGTGCTTCCGGGGAAAGCCGGCCAACCGGAACTTCAGGCCGGAGGTGGGGGGCGTGGTCTGTTGTGTCCAGCCCGGGACTATTGCTGATAATGTACAGAGCACCCATAGAGAGGCGGAGAGGTCATACATGATCCAGGAACTGCGGACACAGACAGGACATGTCAGAGGTGAGGCCCCCCGCAGCCCGAGAACCATGACTGAGGCCGAGGAGCCTCCATCATAGACCCACCATACCAACTATGAGGAGACATCGGGGAGAAGACAACCTACCTGTGTACGAGGACAGGAAGAGGTGAGGGAAGGAGGACAGGAAGAGGTGAGGGAAGGAGGACAGGAAGAGGTGAGGGAAGGAGGACAGGAAGAGGTGAGGGAAGGAGGACAGGAAGAGGTGAGGGAAGGAGGACAGGAAGAGGTGAGGGAAGGAGGACAGGAAG